GAAATTTGTTGAGAATTCATTGTTTATTATGTTCGATATGCAAAAAATGTAAAAGTAGTGTTTGAGCAACCTATATCGATGGTAAATTTTTGAAGAAAAAGGTGGGTTGTGTCTCCCTGATTTTGTCATCGGAATGGTAACATTTGATTCATTTATTTAATTTCCGACCAATTAAAATTTTGCTTCCGATCACTTGATTGAGATGCTTGAGAACACCTTAAGTCATATTATAAGTCTATTAATGTTATAAAAAAAAAAGAATTTAGAACTGATAGTTAAATAGTTTCGTTACGATCTTTGATCTTGGGCTTTGACGATCATTGATTATCAATTCATCAACCCAGCAAGTGAACGTAATAAAACATCACATAAATCTACCTCATAATAATAACCATGAACATCTATACTTTTTTTGAAAAGTTGAAAGGCTAAATCAATACAATTTTCTTTTTCGAGAGTTTGTATTGCTCTTATATTCCCACCAGTGTTTGCTCTTTTTTTTAAGCGATATAATTTTGTTTGAATTTCAAAATCCCTTTTACATAAAGTTTTGATCATAATATTGGATTAGTTTATCCAAATTATTATTTTCATTCCGAAATCCGGCGACAGTATCGAGGATTAAATTGTAAGTAAAAGTCGTTGGTTGTACACCGGATATTTTCATTTCTTCGAAGCGTCGTTCAACTTCTCGTGGAAGTCCTCTTTGTTTCAAAAGCATTAACAAATCATTATACTCCCTATATTTGTTAGACGAAACCTTTTTTGCTTGGTGACGAAAGACAAAACCTAAGCCCCAAAATGACGAAACCCTGACGAAAGACGAAACCTCAAATTCTGCTGACGAAAGACGAAACCCAAATTCATAATGACGAAACTCTAGTGCTCCCGCTAAAAAAAACTTGGTGCTCCCGCTAAAAAAAAAAAAAAACGAATCCCTACTCAATCCGGATAAATCCGTCATCTATTTATCCGTATCTGAATTTATCCGGATATCCATTTACTATTGGTATCCGGATATCGAATAAATTCAGATCTGGATATAAATTCAGATCTGGATATCCAATAGATAAATGAGTAAGGGAGCTATCACTTATTACGTAATTATAGCCCCCTCCAGAGTCAGTCATTTGACAATTACAAGTTCTAAAGTAATCATAATATAAACCATATACGATTGGTTATTTAGAGCTTGCAATTGTCAAACGATTGATTACTTAAGAACTTGTAATTGTCAAATGACTGACTTTGAAGGGGGCATAATTACGTAATAAGTGATAGCTCCCTAAGGGCGATGATCAAAATTACATTGTCCATGATAAATTTTTGAAAAAATATACTATTAATGCATAATAATTAAAACTTAAATATAAAAATATTATTATTTCTAGTGTAATAAATTTGCTATATTATTTTTAACAATTTCTGGAAAATTTTTATGTTCCAGTATATTAGCCACTTCTTTAGCTTTTTCAATTTGCCCGCTAATAACATATGCTTTCACCATCTCTTCATACGTACTTGGTTCCCTTGGTACACCCTCACTAACCAAATCATCAGCATCTATCATATTATTAAACACTGTTTCAGCACGTTCCCATTGCCCCAATTGACCATACCCTCGAATAAATAAATTCTCAATATAAGGAGTAGATTTGACATCGCCTTGCATTAGCATAACATCATAATACTCTTCTGCTTCTGCAATACGATCATTAGCAATTAGCGCATCAAACAGCGCTTGATACACACTCTGATCTGGTCGAATATTGAACATACTTTGCATGGTATTAAATGTCTGAAGTGAATTCTGTACAGCCCGATGACAACAGCCATAAGCATAAATAAGAGACGCATAATGTGTTGGTTGTGGTGTAACACCGTCCCGCTTCATTTGTTCAAACACATTTAAAGCTGATTTCATATCAAATGGTTCAATAGTCGAATATGCATCAATCAACAACTTGTATGTATGATCGGAAGGTTTTAAATTGTGTCGATTAATTTCTCCAAAATATTTAAGAGCTTTTTCTCTGTCACGAAGATCCCACGTATAAAATTGCATCAATGTATTATAAGGACCAATACGTGGTTGGAAAGACTTTGAATTTTCCATTTCTCGCAGTGCCATTAAAGCTTTATCTTCAGATTTCACACGCGTACAAGCTGTGATTAACGCACCATAAGTAATAGAATTAGGTTGAATCCTACGTCTTTTCATATCTTTGAATGCTTCCCAAACTGCATCATACTTTCGAGCTTTCCCAAGTTTGCTAATTAATACATTATAAAAATAAAGTGTTGGTTTTATATTATAACGTTTTATTTCATCATATAATTTTATGGCAGTTGCGGCCTCATCAGGATCCCTATCACTTTCGGCAACCAAAAGATCAGCATATGCATTAGCATCTGGTTGATATCCAAGTGCGAAAATCTCATTGTAAATTTGATACGCCTTATCCAATTGACCGTTGCTTGCATATGCTATAAGCATACTATTACGTGCCCAATTTAATCCGTTGGTAGATACAGATGGGTCCAATTTTGGAAAAAATTCTAATGAAAGTTTATATAATTCTTCAGCTTCTTTCAGATTCTTACTCTTTCCTAAATTTCTAATCGCTTGACTAACGAGTTCAGGTGTAGGTATCAAATCTTCTTTGAGCATTTTATGAAATTCACTTAACAAAAGAGCTGAATCAATTGCATGAGTTTTACATAATTGTGATATTTCCGAAGAACGGTTAATTTCTTCGATGGTAGGTTGGCGAAGAGATTTCTGTGAAGACTCCTTAGTAGAATCTTTAGTGGTTAAAACAACAGATGCTATTTCTTTCCATTTATCAGCACCCGCGAGATCACCTGCTTCCATGTAATGATGGTGAACCTTTGTAAATGTCCTGTAAGGCAATGTAATTTCACATAATTTTAAGTCTTCTACAAGTTCAAATACCCTGGTGTTAAAATCATCCTTTGCGATATGTAAATTATATAAAGATGTTGCGTTATCAAAAAGCGCGAATATATGTTGGCTGTCAAGTTCTTTAAAACTTGCCACTATTTCACCATTAGCTTTAACCGTGTCGTATTTTGTAAATATGGCCTTATTGAAATTTGGTATTTTATTATATCCATAGTCCAAAAGTTGAAATTTGGCATCAATCGCTCCTTTAAGTGAAAGATACGGATAATTCAACAATGTTATGATATGATCATCCAAAGATATTAGTGGACTGTTTGACCTATTCGATGAGCTATTTGTATAATGATCCGTGAGCGCTTTGATTTTAATGAGAGCGGTGAGTGCCTTTTCCGGTTGTTGTTCTTGAACAAAATGATTCATAATATTTCTTGTCAAATTGAGATCAGTAACTAAGTGTCCTTTATACATGTCATCCAAGAGATCCAGAATCCTGTCTGGATCATGTTTGAGAGTCAAGTGTAAATATAATGACATCTCAGAGTATCTAGGACATAAGTTTATATCTTTCATTTCTTGATAAACTTTTGTCGAATTTGAATAATCACCAATTAAAGAATATTGCATCAACATCGTATCGTATATCAAGTTAAATGGCTTTGGTAATGATTCATCGATTTTCATCTTATCAAACCATTCTTGTGCTGTCTCGGTTTTATTAGTATCACACAAATCTCTAATAAGGTAGAAATAACTCCATTCGTCTGGTACAAGACCGTTCTCAGGAGCATCCTTTTCTAAAATTTCAATAGCACCTTTTACATTATCACAACGAACATAAGCAGAAATCATTTGATTATATACAGCCATTGGTTCGTGCTTTCCGGATAAATTTGGTGAAACCTTTTTATATTCTTTAAAACATTCCAAAGCACTTTCCATATCACCAACATGACTATACATTGATATTAAATAACCAAAAGTATATGGAGACACTATGCCACGCTTTTCCATATATTCAAATACAGTTAACCCTTCTTCTATTCTACCATAAGGAGCAAGTGAACGTAATAAAACATCACATAAATCTACCTCATAATAATAGCCATGAACATCTATACTTTTTTTGAAAAGTTGAAAGGCTAAATCAATGCAATTTTCTTTTTCGAGAGTTTGTATTGCTCTTATATTTCCACCAGTGTTTGCTCTTTTTTTTAAGCGATATAATTTTGTTTGAATTTCAAAATCCCTTTTACATAAAGTTTTGATCATTATGTTATAAGTTGATAAGTTAGGTTTCACATTATCACGAATCATCTCGTCATAATATTGGATTAGTTTATCCAAATTATTATTTTCATTTCGAAATCCAGCGACAGTATCGAGGATTAAATTGTAAGTAAAAGTCGTTGGTTGTACACCGGATCTTTTCATTTCTTCGAAGCGTCGTTCAACTTCTCGTGGAAGTCCTCTTTGTTTCAAAAGCATTAGCAAATCATTATACTCTCTAATATAAAGTTGTTCTTGTCTAAGATCTAGTGGTCTTTGTTGTATACCAGGGTCTGTACTACCACTTATTCCACCATTAAAAATTTCAGTTTGATTTGTTTGAGGAAGTGAAGAAGTTGACGCACCATTAGTATTACTGTAATGTCTTCTGCTCATATTAGTTGAGGTTTTAGCACCTCTATTAGAAAAACCACTTGTTGCATGATGTCCTATTACAGTACTACTACTTTTTGCACCTAGTAGGTTGCGAGCGGTTTGCCGCGCAATAGCTACTAATGCAGTATTCGTTTTGATATGTTGCATTTTTTTTTTTTTTCGTAATTTCTAAGTTCGATTACTCGAATCGGTCTTTTTAGATCAGTGATGAACAATAATTAGATTATTCTTATTTTTTTACCATGATCATTTGACCTGGTCACCAGTGCTGCAGTGAATAAAATTCAAAGTCAAAATTTGGTGCGTGTTGCGCGCCAAATTTTAGATTCAATGTGCGCAAAGTTTGATACAGTAGATCAAGGCTAACTGTATAACGCACATTATTTTAAATAATTATTAAAAAAGTTGCGTGCGCTTTGCGCACAGCATTATATTTTTTTTGTGCGCAAAAAATTTTCTATGTGCGGAGCGCACTATTCACTGCTGGTCACAAGATGTACGTACAGAGATAGACACGCCACTTAGTATATATATATCGATATTCGTTAAATTTACCAATTTGGTCATCAATAACATTTATAACAAAAATCACGTAACATTAATCGTTAACTGTTAAATAATGATGAGTCATTAAGAATGCTAAATATGAGATACGGTATTCAATAAATAAAGATATGAATATTTCATTAGTTTTCTGGACAAATTTCGCTAACCTGCGACAGTTGACACTCAACTGTTCATAAGTGTCGTTACAGGATCATGGATTAGTGACAATTGGAGAATAGTCAACATAATTTTAAGTTTTCAAAAATCTGGACAAACGGCAAAAGAAATATTAATAACAATAAACAGCTTAGAAGGTATATCATTAAAGAAAATATTCACACTTACCATAGATAATAGATCTACAACAATTCATTCGAAAATTGCTTGTAGCAAATGTAAAGAATATAATAATAGTTATACATATTGCAGTATAAAAAGTTAAACAAATTTTTTTAAGATGCAAGAGATTCACAAAATCAAAAATTTGACCAACGGCCTTCCTTCTAGCGAGAAACAAATTTATGAAAACGCAAGCCTCAAGAAGAAGATACAAAATATGGGGTGTCTCATATTAAAAGGGCCCATTTTGCAATATATTTGTTTTGATTGGTTAAAGGTAACGGGTGACTATCGGGTGGTCCCGTGATGTGCTTAGCCTTAGCAACCTCTTTTCTTTTCCATTTTTCATTATGCAAATCGACCTTCATTTATAATTGAAAAATGTTAATCGTGTCAAAATTTACATAAATCTAATAAAAACTCATTTTTCGAAAAATTGCAAAATGGGCCCTTTTAATATGAGACACCCTATATGAGAAAAAAATGACCCACACAATTGCCCAAACCAAAAAGCGCGACAGAAGTGCCTTTGCAAATCAAATTATTTTACGTTTACATGAAGAGTATGATAAATTTCTTAAAAGTCTTTTAGAAGATAAGTTTTTCATAAAACTCCTAAATTTGATGCATAAAAAATTATAGATCTACAGTATAAGAGTTGTCACTAATAACAAGAACGTCTTCAGATTCTTACAAAAAAGCAGGATGAGCATAAGGATAGATATTAGTTTTTGACATTTCTTTTTTGTTTTTTTTTTTAAAGTGCGGTCGTTTGTTAAAGATGTAGTCAGATGTATAAGGTGTTGGAAACAAGTGATTTTGCACATTTTGCACATTTTGAAGTCTAAGCGGATTTAAGTGCATTGACATTTAATTAACCCCACGACACAAAGTATTGTAATTTTTTTGCAAGAAAGTTGTTTTTACTTTAAGAATTTTTACAAAAAAAAAAGATTCTTGTGGAACAATTGAACTATACAAGAAGGATACGTAAATAATCGCTATCGCAATTTGTGGAAAGCGCGTCGGGAATACGTCAAGTATAAAGCATCTTCCTGCGTATCGAATACAAAGTAAATTTCCAATAATTGGAACTCCACTTTGTATTCAATACACAGGAAGATGCTCTCCTTATGCAAACCCGGGTTATACTTGACGTACTCCCGACGCACTTTCCAAGGTAGGGTAGATGTTAAAAATCGATAAAGACCTCTGCTATCCTCATCTACATCCAGCAATTCATGAGATGTGTTTGAAAGAATTATCAAACAATGAAGACTTTGTAGTCCTTGAATCCTTCTGTCAACTCTTTAAACCATTTGAAAATGCTACATTAATACTTTCTAAAGAACAATCAAATTCAATTTCTAATGCAATAATGGTTATACTAGACATTGGTCAGCACATCGATAAAGCTAGAAAAATATTGAAACGTAATCATCGATCATATAATAATTGCGCACGCACTTGACTCAAGACATAAGTTGGAACACTTTAAAGCAACCTTGATTAGGAAATTATATGCAAAGAAGGACCGTAAAAATTGCACCAAAACATTTTCTTATTGTGAATTCGTTCAAAAATATCAACTTATATTATTCAATCAGCTGAAAGTTCAAATAAGTATTATACAGTCGAAACTTTAATAGAGGTGATTCCATAAATATAATGGTAATGATGGATACGTGACTAAGGACGCTCTCAAGTGAGATTTGCTAGTGATTGTTAGTGATTGTAGTGGTGCACAACATTATAGCGATATTATGAGTAAATAGCATAATTGAATATTCTCACGTATCTCTCTCGATATGACTAACTTATAGTTGTATTTATGCTCAAAAATTACGATAATTAAAACGTTAATTGCAATTGGTGCTTGAGCGAACACTTTCAATATTATTACCATAAAAATTTTAGTTCCTATTTCTTCTTTTCATACTTTACAAACTTTTATATTGTTGTTACAAAAAAATATTCAACTTACTTTTTTTTGAATCCTACAGCGACAAATAAACAAAATATTGAATATGAATCTTCCTGCCTTCTTTTTTTTGTGACAAAGATTTTAGCACAATTATCGTGAAATTCGGATGATCATGAAATCTAGAGCACCCATTGGCTAATCACCCTAACCTAAACTAATCATGATCATGAAATCTAGAGCACCCATTGGCTAATCACCCTAACCTTAACTAATCAGATGCATTAATTTTCAGTATCATCCGATTTCATGATCATCCGCGACAATTATTTTTCCAGTCAATCAATGAAATGAAAAAAAAAAAAATCTTGACCTCCATTTTTTGTTAATTGGAATGATAAATACTCTTGATCGGTTAAACAATCTTCAATTTTATCTGGCGCATTCAGCTATCGTCACGTGCCTTATCATTGGAATAATAGATGCATCTGACTCGTTAACCTATTTTTTTTTACTGTACTAATTAAAATTTACTCCCGACCCGTTCCGATCGTGGTTTAAAATCTTGCCCTGTATTTTAAAGAATTCCAAAGATTGTCTCGAATTTTACTATTGATGACTAAATTAAAATTCTCAAATATATATAACTATATATATATATATATTGACAAAATTGCTAAGATAATCCATAGTGTGATTTACCTGTCTATGTAAATTGTAGATACTATATGAGTGCCGCAAAGAGAAAATCTGCAAATCATACTAAGATTTGCAGGTTTCCATTTGCGGCTAATAATATATTTGAGAGCTGCTAATGGATCTGACAAGTGACATATAACTTGTATTAAATTTAATGTCGTTTTAGATTTTTTTATAAATTTAGACTAGTATCCTTTAGCCAGTTACGATACCTGATACGATACATAATTAAGTTACGGCTATACCATTATACCGTAACTACGTATACCGGTTTCGCCTGTCCTTGGTGTCGGACACGTGAGATGCGGATGCATTTGATTGATATAAACTCGATAATCTTATCAACCTTAAAGCAATGGCTAAGTTAGCTCAGAAGCCAACTCCATACGTCCGTAGACTAAGATTGTAAATATTATAACAAACCTTTAGATTTTTCTACAAGTTTCTTTATAAGTTTCTTATCCAAATGTGAAATTGCGATTGATGCTTTTTTTTTAAAAAAAATAGAAGTTGGACTTTGATAATAGTTAGCATTCCAGTATTTGTATCGTCTAGTTACGTACTTTATAAACGAGGCATGTAAACATGAAAACTTGTCGTTTACTAATTTAAAATTTTAATCAAAAATTTTTTTAACTCGTTATAATTTAAATAGTTTTTTTAGACCAAAAAAAAATCGTACCAACAAAAAAACGGTCCACACAAGAATTAATTAAAGAATTAGAGTCTAAAGAATCTAAAGAGAAAGAGTCAAAATATGTATAATACAAATAAATATTTGGAATTCTGTTAGCAACATAAATTTTGATGATTTTGTAATATATATGCCTTGAATTAATAAAAAAGCTTTATGTTCAAAGATATATTATGTAAAATTTGCTATACGTTGCAAATGGATACGCGGCATTGATTATATCTAGGTTCAGTATTAAGTTAAATTTGAATTTCAAATATATAGCCACTATATATGTATTAAATATTTGTAAAGTAAACCCTTTATAAATCCCGAGACAACTGAAAAAAAATGCTGATGACCGAATCGAGAAGTTACCAAGTTGAAATCAATAAACTACCAACTTCGAATGACGTCTGAAAGCTTATTGATTCGGCTATATGAATCATCCTTCGTGCAGTAAGATGTTAATCGGGTCAGAAAGTATATATCCTAGAATTTTGGATGACAGTTTATTAATGCATTTTTACATTTTCTTTTCTTTACGACCAAATGTTTTTGACAAAAAAAGTATGTACTGTACAACGTAAAGGTTCAACATCGCATTAATAAAATGTCATCCAAAATTTATGAAAATTTTAAGTGCAAATTGATTCCCAAGAAAAAGTTTAACGTTAATGCAGTAATGCGTACGTACAAAAAATTAGATATGATGTGTTTTACGAAAATCATGTGATGAGAAATTCTTGGATGTGTGGTACGTTAAACTATTCCAAGTAATTACCGCACTTGTTTTTGGAGCAAGATATTCTTTTTTCAAACAGTGTGGAATCACATTCTTATTTATAAGAATATGCTGTAAAATTGATACTTTGACGCGCAATAATTATTACCTAAGCACACTTGACCGTATGTCAATTAACATTTTTTCTGTTTCAAATATTGTTACTACAGAATAATTGAAAGAAA